TAGAACTTGAGATTTGTCGTTTTGATCTTTTCACTTTTCTCCATAACGGCATACAATGAAGAAGAAAACACTTCGATCCGTAAACCGAAAACCGACTGTGTATGTGATTAAGGCTATGAACAAGAATCGCAAAAAATGGTTGGCCAGAACTCATAAGCACAAGAAGAGATCAACATTCCCCCTTCTTACTCAAAACTCGGGTTTCCACTCCATCATTTCGATCCGAAATCCATAAAAACGAGTAACAATATCAACTAAAACATATCGAAAAGAGATCAACTGAACTTATGATTCCACTCCATTGTTAGTTCCAACATGGAAATGGTCAGAACGAACAAAGTCAACAAATCAAACTGATGTACTAACAGTTTTGGGGTAAAACCAGTGAGCACAAGAAGAGATCAACCTTTTTTCCGCCATGAAGAACACTGCTACTGATCCAATCCAACACACTCGTTGTTCAAGAAAAAGGAACAACAGATTCAACCCTTGATCAAGGATCTCCGGTTTTGATTTTGAACTCGATCAACTCAAGTCAAAATCTTTCATTCATATAGTAAACCAACTCCATCACCATTAAACTAGAAGCTCATAGTAGACGTGCCATTCACTGAGAGAGAGAGAGAGAGACGTAAGTACCAGAGAAACGAGGATGGACATGGTTCGGTTTCGTGCAAGAATCTGAATCTGCCGGCTTGTAATAAGCAGCTTTTACTTCTTCATCTCGACCTTTCTTAGAGTTCATATACCAATGGTTTGGTTATCTCGGTTATTTCTAGTTTTGGTTATCAAACCAACACTGGTTTAGCTGTTTTAATTCAAGCCACATAATTTTGACACCTGTATTTCTGTTTCGCATTTGTTAGGTTGTTGTAAATCTGTTTTTCATTAGATTCCTTTTCTAGTTGTATATAAACAGTGTAAAGGGAACGATTAATGCAAGTGAGAAAATTCAGAAACTTTTCAGTAAACTTTCTTTTCTGATTTCGTTTTCCATATGGTATCAGAGCGTGAATAGTCCTCTGCTCACTCTGTGATTTTCCCCTTCTCGCTATTTCTTTTGTTTATACATGGCGTCTTCACCAGAAATCGCAGAATCTATTCCCAGTTCCATTCCTCTGGGTTCGGCTTCTTCGAGCTCTTCGAATCCTCGGGATCCCTATTCCGATCCTCTTTTTCTACATGCTGCCGATTCGTCCAGCGTATTTCTCGTTTCGGAGAAGCTTCGGGGTGAGGCCAACTATGGCGTTTGGTCACGCGATGTTCGGAAGGCTCTTTTGGCCAAGAATAAGCTTGGTTTTATTCTCGGCACTCTGCCTCAACCAGTGGACAATGAGGAAGACTCAGGTTCGTGGTTACGTTGCAATGCTATGGTGGGTACTTGGTTGAACAACTCTGTTTCTCCAGAAATTCACACTTTGATCTCTTATATGGAAGATGCTCATGAAATCTGGACCCATTTACAGCGCTGTTTTCATCAGACTAACGTTTCTAAGATTTATAGCATTCAACATCAGATTGACAATTTGTATCAGGGTTCTCTTGATCTGAACACATATTTTACCAAATTAAATGCCTTATGGGAAGAGTTGAAACATTATGAGCCTTTGCCTGTCTGCTGCTGTAAGGGTTGTACTTGTGGGGGGTGCAAATGTCGTATTGCTGATCAGTGGTCAAGTCTGTTTGCTAGACGGAATGTTGTCCGTTTTCTGATGCGTTTGAATGATTCTTTCTCGGCTGCTAGACGTCAGATCTTGATGACTGACCCTTTACCTGATATTACCAGAGCTTTTAACCTTGTTGCTCAGGAAGAGCAGCAGAAACTTAATGTTTCGACCATACCAGATGCTGTTGCCTTCCAAACCACCACAAATACCTCCCGTTCTTCTTATGCTTTCCCTTCTTCCATTCCTCCCACCAAGCCTTCTATCCCTGTTTCTTCCAACTCTCGCCCTAGACCTGTTTGTTCACACTGTGGTATAACAGGACACGTTGTGTCTCGTTGCTTTCGTCTTCATGGCTATCCACCAGGCTATAAGACAAATTCTGGATGGAATCCCCGCTCACCCTCTAAACCTCGACCTCAGTCCTTTGATAAGTTTCAGACCAGGGTGAATATGGTTGATTCGGCTGTAGTTCCTACTGATACCTCAGCACGAGTTGTTTCCAGTGATCATGCAGGACAGAACACTTTGGAGCAGGTTCAGTCTCTTTTAGCTCAGCTGTTTTCTCAGCAAAAGGGTCAAGGTCCCTCTGTCATGGACTCAAATTTTGCTATGCCTACTCCACCCTCACCAGGTATTATACTTTCTCACTTTATTTCTTCCACCTCTGATTCATTTCTTACCTTTCCCTCGGCTGTTTGGATTTTAGACACAGAAGCTAGTACTCATGTTGGTTGTGATTTGGACTTGTTCTCTGAGATTCATGACATACCAGCTGTATCTGTATCACTCCCAAATCATACTTCCATTTCTGTTTCTCAATCTGGAACTGTTATACTTTCTCCTTCCATTACTCTGACTTCTGTCCTGTTTATTCCCTCTTTTCATTATAATCTTCTTAGTGTCAGCTCTTTAACTCAAGATGCTTCTTGTTCTGTGCATTTTTTTCGTGACTCTTACCTGATTCAGGACCATACTCGGGACTTGATGATTGGCAAGGGTAAACGAGTTCGAAATCTCTATATCTATGAGATGCAGCACACATCTCCATCGTCTGTCTCTGTGTCCAGCCTTTTATGCACTGCTCTTTCAGCTACAACTTTCGATCTTTGGCATCATCGTCTTGGCCATCCATCCGACGTCAGAGTTCACTCCCTCGCAAAGTCATCCCAGATTTCCTTTGTTCCTTCTGAAGATAGCTCACCTCCTTGTTCTGTGTGTCCACAAGCTAAACAAAAACGTCTGTCCTTTCCTGTTTCTTCTCATGTTTCTACTTTTCCTTTTGAGTTACTCCATGTTGACATATGGGGACCGTTTTCTCAGACAACCATTGATGGTCATCGCTTTTTTCTTTCAATTGTCGATGATTTCAGTCGTTGTACCTGGGTTTATCTTATGAAATCTAAAAGTGATGTTTTGCAAAAGTTTCCCGAGTTCATTGCTTTTGTTGAGAATCAATTTAATGCCTCAATCAAAAGTGTTCGCACTGACAATGCTCATGAACTTGCTTTCACTTCTTTGTTTGCCAAGAAAGGGATTCTTCATCAATTTTCTTGTCCATACACACCCCAACAAAATGCTATTGTTGAGAGAAAACATCAGCATATTCTCAATGTAGCTAGAGCTCTTCTTCTTCAATCCAATATCCCTCTAGCTTATTGGGGTGACTGTATTCTTACATCCGTTTATTTGATTAATCGAATCCCTTCTCCACTTTTGCAAAACAAATCCCCTTTCGAAATTCTAACTGGAAACACTCCTTCTTATTCTCATTTGCGTGTTTTCGGATGCCTTTGTTATGTCTCCACTTTATCCAAAGATAGAAATAAGTTCAGTCCCCGGGCTGTACCTTCTGTTTTTCTGGGCTATCCTCATGGAATCAAAGGATATAAAGTGCTTGATCTTGGTTCTAATGCTGTTCTTATTTCCAGAAATGTGGTTTTCCATGAATCAACATTTCCTTTTAAAGTTTCCTCTGTGTCTGAAACAGCATTACAACCTCTTTCACAATCTGTCTCTCCCTTCTTGTTTGAGACTGACATGTTCCCTGTCTCACGTCCTGTGCCTCCTTCTGCGTCTCCTTCCATTATGTCTTCTCCATCCTCGGATACAGATACTCCTGTTGTCACCCCTGAATCTTCAGATACAGTTCTCAGACCACAACGACAGTATAAGGCTCCTGCTTACCTTTCTGATTATCATTGTTACCATCTTCAAAACCATTCACCACCCCCACCCTCTCCAAATACTTTATACCCTTTATCATCCTATGTCTCATATGATAAACTTTCCTCAGCCTATAAAACCTTTGCCCTTAATATTTCTACCGAGCCAGAACCACAATCTTACACCCAGGCAGCAAAATTTGATAAATGGAGAGAGGCAATGTCCCTTGAGCTAGATGCTCTGGCTAGAACTAAAACCTGGTCTATAGTTGCTCTTCCAGAAGGAAAGCATGCAGTAGGCTGTCGATGGGTTTTTAAAACCAAGTATCATGCTGATGGCTCCATTGAAAGACACAAGGCTAGATTGGTGGCCAAGGGTTTTACACAATTGGAAGGTGTGGATTATTTAGAGACTTTTAGTCCTGTTGCGAAGATGACTACTGTCAGATTGTTGCTTGCCTTAGCTGCGAAATACAATTGGTTATTGAGCCAAATGGATGTTAGCAATGCCTTTTTGAATGGGGACCTAGATGAGGAGATCTACATGAAACTGCCGCCTGGCTATGCTGATCTTAAGGGGGAGAAAGTGTCTTCCAATGCTGTCTGCAAGTTACACAGATCTCTCTATGGCCTGAAACAGGCCTCGAGACAATGGAATCAAAGATTGTCTCGTGTACTTCTGGATGCAGGCTTCTTACAAGCTCAATCAGACAACTCCTTGTTTATCAAGAGGGCTGGTTCTCATATTGTAGCTGTCCTTATCTATGTTGATGACTTACTGATAACAGGAAACAATTCTAATATGATTTCAGATTTGAAGTCGACTTTGCACTCTGAGTTTCAGATTAAGGACCTGGGTGATCTTCATTATTTTCTTGGTTTGGAGATTGCTAGGTCAAAACAAGGCATAGCTATCTGTCAACGCAAGTACACCTTGGAATTACTTGAAGATTTCGGGATGCTTGGCTGTAAACCCATTGCTACACCAATGGATACTCGGGAAAAACTTGGGCAGGAGTCTGGTGAGTTACTCGATGACCCTCTGCTGTATCGTAAACTGATTGGCAAGCTGATTTATCTTGCCATAACTAGACCAGACATTAGTTTTTCTGTTACAAAGCTGAGCCAGTATATGTCCGCACCTCGGACAGCTCATCTTCAAGCAGGTTTTCGCGTTCTTCGTTATCTGAAACATAATCCTGCTCAGGGTCTTTTTTATTCTGCTGGGTCAGATACTAAGCTTAGTGCTTACACCGATGCCGACTGGGCTTCTTGCCCAGATTCTCGGAGGTCCGTTACTGGTTTCTGCGTCTTCTTTGGTAACTCGCTGATCTCGTGGAAATCCAAAAAGCAACAGACAATTTCCCGTAGCAGTGCTGAATCGGAGTATAGAGCTATGGCTCAAACTTCTTGTGAGTTGGTCTGGGTTCATACTCTGTTGCTGGAGCTTGGCATTTCTGTTTCGCAGCCTGTCTCATTATTCTGTGACAATCTTTCTGCTGTTCACATTGCCCACAATCCCGTCTTCCACGAGAGAACGAAGCACATTGAATTAGATTGTCATTATGTTCGGCAGCAAATCAAGTCGGGATTCCTCAAGCCTTTCCACATCTCAGCTTCTGATCAGTTAGCGGACATTTTGACAAAGCCTGTTGCAGTTGATCATCTTCGACGGCTCTCTTTCAAGATGGGAATACGAGACTTGTATTCTCCATCTTGAGGGGGAGTCTTAGAGTTCATATACCAATGGTTTGGTTATCTCGGTTATTTCTAGTTTTGGTTATCAAACCAACACTGGTTTAGCTGTTTTAATTCAAGCCACATAATTTTGACACCTGTATTTCTGTTTCGCATTTGTTAGGTTGTTGTAAATCTGTTTTTCATTAGATTCCTTTTCTAGTTGTATATAAACAGTGTAAAGGGAACGATTAATGCAAGTGAGAAAATTCAGAAACTTTTCAGTAAACTTTCTTTTCTGATTTCGTTTTCCATAACCTTGGCCGGGCACCTTCACCTTAGGATACACTGCAAAAGAACAGACTTTCAGGGGGAAACTTCATACCCAGATCCTGGTTTTTGTCGCACTCAATTCGTCACAAAAACTGAAAACTTTGGGATTAAACGTGACACAAACAAGCAAAATCGATCAAACCCAGAAAAATTCGAGCAAAACCCACTTGTTTTCTCTGCTCGAATCGCAATCTCAGCTGCTTGGGAACCGTGACAAGATTCTAGGGGAGAAGAAACAGGAGAAAACCCAGGAAAATTGGAGAAGCTGAAGAAGATATTCGAAGGAAAGTCTATTCAACGACGTCGAGGTTCAAAAATGGAATAATACAAAACAAGCCCTCTGTGCACTTTTGAGGTCAAAGATTTCACGCTACGCTACGTCCTCCTTTTTGGCTTTTATTTTTTTCAATTGCCTTTGTAAACGCTTTCGTGATTTTTTTATTATATAATATTTAAGAATAATTGTTGAAGTGGGAGAAATAAATGACTGTGAAGAAAGTTAAAAAAAAATTACTACACAACAAAAAATTACCCCACACAAAATTTTCATCTTCGGTTTGATCATTAAAAAAAAAGATGGACACGTAATTTTAGAATTACAAAAACATGAATACTAAATGCATATATAGAGAGGATATATTAGACTTAGATTTTTTTTTTTCATTTTGAGAAAAATTATTTATAATCTGATTGATTTTCATTTCCGTTTTCTTAGGTTTTGTTTATTTCACTAAAAATTATTTACTTTTTTTAAAAAATAGTTATATTTTTTTTATTAAAAAAATATAATTATTTAATATAAAATTTAATTTTAATACAATGAGATATTATTCATTCTAAAATATTTGAAAGAAAATATGTCTCCAATTATTTAACTATACATTTTTTTACCAGTAATATAATATTATAATTATACAACCAACCACATTTGACAATCTATGTAGCTTAGGATTTTGGATTATGCATTCACAATCTAAACATTTGTATATGGAGTTACACAATCCTCAAACTTAGAAATTTATGTAATCTTTCATACTCTTTTTTATCATTCATTACTCTTCCTCTCTAATCGGTCTATCTCCATCGGCATAAATAAGATTTTGTTTGCTTCAGATATTTGATATTACCGGATCGGTATTATGGCATGTATCCCGAATTTCGGTATGAAACTCGAGGTGAACATGTAGACTAAAATTCGAGTTCGAGTTTTGGTCGAATCTCGTAAATTCGAGTTCGATTTCTCTCGTCTAACACCTTTGACGCCTCCTTTTGTATTTTTCTTTCATCGGTCGAATATTTTACGGGTACCCGAATCCTCAATCTCATTGTATTCTGCAGATTTTCGAAATTTAGTTACCTGATTTTGGTATGATCGGTCGGATAATTCGAGGACAAAATCGGGTAACCGAAAAATCCGGTTAACTAACTAAACCGTGGAGTCCGCGCGTGTGTAAGGTAAGCAAGTGAAGAGAGCGAGTGAAAAAATGGAGTGTAGTCTCTGGACGAAGGAGAGAAGAAAATGATTGGACGAAAACAACACAACAATCCACCGAGACCTTATCACCACCATCGTCTTCTTCCCACCGAGAGAGAGAGAGAGAGAGTTTGCAGACGGCCCGAGAAAAATGGCGAAGACGCTGATCTCTTCAACCCTAAACCCATTTCTCTCTTCTTCTTCCTCTGCTTCGTCGTCGTCGAGAACCCAAGTCACCATTCTCAAGGCCTTCTCCAAGAACAACGGCATCCACACATCGTTGTCTGTTTTTCCGTCCATGCTCTGCGACAGAAGGGAACTGTCTCTAGGGTTTATGAGCAGTCTCGTGGTGGGTTTTCTCGCGGGCGGTGACAGAAGAAATCGCGACGCCAACGCGGCGATTCTAGAGGCCGATGACGACGAGGAGTTGCTGGAGAGAGTGAAGCAAGATCGGAA